AGCTTCCTGCTCAGCTTGCTTGGGTTCAGCTTCCTGCTCAGCTTGCTTGGGTTCAGCTTGCTGGGGTTCAGCTTCCTGTTCAGCTTGCTGGGGTTGAGCTTCCTGCTCAGCTTGCTTGGGTTCAGCTTCCTGCTCAGCTTGCTTGGGTTCAGCTTGCTGGGGTTCAGCTTCCTGTTCAGCTTGCTGGGGTTGAGCTTCCTGTTCTGCTTGCTGGGGTTCAGCTTCCTGTTCTGCTTGTTGAGGTTCTGCTTCCTGTTCAGCTTGCTGGGGTTCAGCTTCCTGTCCAGCTTGCTGGGGTTCAGCTTCCTGTTCGGCTTGCTGGGGTTGAGCTTCCTGCTCAGCTTGCTTGGGTTCAGCTTCTTGTTCTGGTTGTTTGGATGTAGCTTCCTGTTCATCTTCTACTAAGATATTTTCGGTCTGTTCAAATGAAAATGTTTGTTGATGCATCTCTGTGTTTGATGAAAGTGTGCTTATTTCATGCAAATTGTCAGTCTTTAATTGTTCATGATTGGAATCATCTTTAACAAGACACGATTCAAATGCACTTGTTTCACCACTCTCTTCTGATCTATTTTCCACTTGATTTTGCTTCGGAATGTCTTCTACAGACATCATTCCAATACATTTTGCATCATTTTCATCATAAACTACCACACCGCCATCACTTGGGTTCTTGGAATCGGATTGCTCAGCCTGCAGTGAGACAACTTCAGGTATCAGCTGGGATTCATCACCTGAACCTTGTGGACCGCAAAATGCTGACATCGTTTCTTCGTCGTTAAATCTTATTAAGTCGTTGCTATTCATCTGGTTATTTTCGTGCCCATGACCCCCGTTTATGTGTGTGATTCCTTCATCCATTTCTTTTGACTTTTTTTTGGAAAAACTTTCACTTGAATTTCTTCCTCGATCAAACCGATTCTTCAGTTGGAAAAATGTCTTAGACGTAAAAGATGGTGAATCTTTTGGTGTGAGCAATATTGATGATTCAATTCTTTGTATTGCCTCCGAGATATCTTTCCCGTCTTTCTCCTCTACAGATAATCTTTTCGTAAAACGATCGCGAAGTTTGTAGGACACAGGTGAGCTATCAGGTCTTGGTTTCTTGGAAATAACAACAGGAGAAGCTAAAATATACAAGAAAGTTACAATTAAATCACAGCAACATAACACAAATCGTTACAATGTCGCAGTAGCTGCAACTTACAATGAAATATATCTGTTACCTATATAAACTATAATGCTTCCATCACAACCATCAACCAATGCTCTTTATTGAACTGTATCAATATCTATGGCGTTTTGTAAACTCTTTCTCCACTTACATATTGTTATCTAAATAGAGTCCCTTGTTGTTCATGGAAATGTAGCTCCAACTGGAGGACAAAACAGTGGATTCTAATTTTKTCCTTTAGATGGAACTGATTTGAAATCACATGTGCAAGGGGTCTATTGATACAATATAATATTATCATTGATATTATAATATCAATATCATAGATATTAATGTAAGTCATATTGGCGAATGGTTATCATGGAAGGATATCCATATGAATGAACCATTTTTGGAACAACTTAAAGATTAATTTTTTTTTCAAATTTACTTTATTAATCATCATTTAAAACTAAAGAAACAAGCATCAAGAAGTATTAAATACAATTAAATAAATATTTTGATTCTAGATGTATTTATGGATTAAATTAGAATTGATTCATGGAGAATTCAGAAACTGATATTCTTAACTGATTTACACTTTAGCGCTTAAATAACAAAGTGAGCACCTGATATAAGTGTGTATGTTAGAAGCAGTTTTTTGACTCCAGATGTTCATAAAAAATAAAAAGTGAAAACATTAAATCAAGAGGATATTTCAAAGGAAGACTAAATGSTTATGGTTTCAGGTGAAGTTTATATTGTGAGGTTTTTAAACAGCTTTCATGTGGTCATTCTAACAGCTGTTAAGTTAGTTAAGGCTAACCAAATCTTCATCCCATCAACTGTCACATTTCTGTTTTTGATGTTGTTGTTGTTTTTGTAATTGAAATGGCTTTGAAAGGGAGGTCACTCACACAATGTGACACTTTAAATTCAGCCCCAACATGCATTAACATTTAAGTTTAACCTTAACCTAGAAAGYATGTTATATTATATTACTTGCATTCAGTGAAAATCCTATTGCAATGTACTGTAAAAGTCTATATACATGATATTGAGCCAAGTAGAGTATGTCCTATGACTTCAATATGGATGTCCATATTCATCAGGGCTGTGTACATGAACAACTATATATGGAAGTCAAATGACAGATCTGTCACATTGAGCCTTTAAAGGCTATGCAAAAAGTGATTTTGGAACTCAGTGTTTTGTATTTACAGAATTAACATACAATWTTATTTTTACTCTGCTATAAGGAAATGGGTTCTGGGAGCAAAACTAACCTGTTATATTTGGCTGACTTTCCCTTCTTTTAACTTTTTCAACAAGCTTGCTCCAAACACCAGATTTCTTGCGATGATTATCTGGTTGTTGTGAAGGTGGAGAGATGGGATTTTCACCTAAAAATATAGAACACTGAGTTTATTTTTATAAGAATTTGTAGCCAATTTTAGTACTAGGAATAACCGACCAGGCATTTGGAATTCAATGGGGGGAGGGGAGGAGGGAAGAGTAGCGCTAAGCTGACTATGATCTATGATAAACCAATATATGGTAGTGACACATGTCTGACAAATACATYAGTTACATCAGGGAGTGAAAGAGTAAAAACATACAATTAACAATTCTTTTGAAAGTTGATTCCACTACAGGAACTGAGGTGTGCCTTGTAGCCATACTGAGTGGTAATGTAGTTAAAAGCAGCAAACTTATGTGAGTCCTCATTATTCTGGCAAGGATTAACATTCAAATTGTCAGCAAGTTGTTGATAAAATTTATCTAGTTTTTACTCAACAGATGATTCAGTTAAATTGAAGCCAAAACCTTCAGTTGCATCACTATGGTCCTATACAATCCATGGCATTGTGTTGTATTTGGTAAAATGCATTATGCAATCATAGTTATTACTTATTTCTCAAGCAAGCCTATGAGTATGATCTAGTGTCATATATCTAATGTTTTTCTAATTAAAGTAATTTATCCAATGAGCWACCCATGGCTACCCATCTGACACTCTGATGTTCTACTAGTAAGTACCCAACTACAGATACACTTATCCAAGGTACAGAAACTTGCAATATAAAAATCTCCTCATAATTCTATTTTTCTAATGTCTATTTTTTATAATCTTTTATCAAATTCATTAATAATTCATAAGGTAAACACAATGGAAAAYCATTGCCGTGACCGCATCTTTATATGAGCAAGAGATTTGTCCTGATTTGCATACGACTTTAACTTYGATTTTCTCTTACAAATGATATTTTATCCTGAAGTTTTTTTCGAAATATGCTTTACCTTATGTTGGAATTTGATAAGCAATATAAAATATTCGCGTCCGACCTTTATGGGCTATAAAACTGCTCGCTTGCAGCTCGCAGTTTTAAATGCCCATAAAGGTCTCCCGCTCATATTTTATATATTACCTAAGACATTGTTATTTTAGTAAAGCATATCTCAAGGTATATTAACTGAATACCATAGCAACCTTGTAACTTTGAGAGTCAAAATAATACTCTATTTACAAATTCAAAGCAATTAACCCCTGTTGTATTTAACATCAGATTCTCTTTCGCAAAGACCTTACCCATGAGAAAATGTTATAAAAACAATAGCCCTATCAATTTCCATATTTCCCTCAGTTGAGGATAACCTACTATTGCCAGATGGCTTAAACCTTGTTRCCCTCTGGGAATAAAGAGTTAGTCTCAATTTGTGAAAATGCAAATTTTTGTAGTAGCAACATTGTCTCATACTTTTTTTTTGTTTGGTAAGTTCTTTGTGCCAGAGAAATCTGCAGTCAAAAAAAATCAGCAGTTTTTTGCTTTGCATTTGAAAGTTGATTTTTATCCAAATGTTATTAATATAAGGAGTTTCCAATCAAAAACAACAGTTTTTTCTAATTTCCTATGGATCAGTCACAAATTTTTATTTCAGGTATTTGATATTCCTAGCTAGACAGGGCTGATAAACAAATTGATAAATCCACCATTTTGTGTATAATTTTTTAAGTATTGAAGCCAAAAAAACTGTTGTAGACCATCAATATCAAAAATCAGGCTCCATTCTTTCGTAAATGTACTAAAAACTGAGGATTTTGCYATTTTCTTGAATAGATGGAAGATTTTACATTCAATCTTGAGACTCTCAGATTATCTGGGAGACATTTCCTGTAAGAGAGCCCCTAGACTTGGATCATCAGTTGACAGACTGAGAAAAGCCTCAAAGAAGTAAGAAATGAKTAAAATTATGGTATATACGGTTTGATCTGCTGCTATTTGGAGAAAGATTTCATCCCTAGATGTTATAAGAAGGTAAATTGGGTATATTAGTTTCACAACCAACGGAGCCCCCTTAATACACACATTAATTTGAGTCTTTCATAGCAAATCCAGGGTTTGTAGCACAATGACATCATCCACTAGGATGTGCACACCAATGAGAAAAATCCTGCAYCTTCCCCTGACATTATTATGGTATGTTGCTTTGGAGGCCTTTGGAGGTTTGTGATTTATTGTTGGAGTAGAGTTGGTTCATGTCCTGGTCAAATGCCTTGTGGTCTATAAATGTCATTAAACAACTCCAGACAAAGGCTTTCCCCATCGCTTGGGTTATATAACCTTGCTTCTATATACATTTATTTTCAAGATTTAAATGTGATTCATTAAAAAAATACATATATATTAGAGTGCATTTGTTGTATCCATGAAACTCTTGAAGAGAAATACCCTTGATAAGAAACTACACTGATATGAAAAAATAGGGAATTTCTACTATTAATTAGGACAAGATAGAGGTAACTATATTCACACCACTTTATATTATTTATACTTCACCTGGACTGCACTCAGTGCGGGAGAAAACCAAAGTAAAATAACACAAACTGAAATAAGTTGAACTMTTAAACGTTTATATTACTTAAAATATCAGAACCGAATAATATTATATTTAACTGATATTTTCACGCCCAGCAAAAGTATGGAATGCTCAACTGTTCTAAAAACCCTTTCTAACRATCCGACGAATCGAAGTAAATCGACAAAGACTTAACTTATTCATGCTGTTTCTGAGGGAGTATTAACATCAGTAAATATAAACTGAGTTCTTAAGCTTAGCGATTTGACCTTTTCYTTCAAAACAGAATATTTCATCATTGAACGATCCGCAAGAAGCTATAAGCCTTCAGTTGTCAAACCTTGGTATGGACTCTTGACTAATGTAGTAGCCGTTGCTATACAACAGAAGAATGCTATCTCGATCGATGTGCACTCATTTAAACTTACCAAGAGACTTTTTTCTTTTTGCTTGAGATTCTTAGAACGAGAAAGCTCAAAAACTTCGACAATCAGCTCTTGTTCATCGTCGATCGACGTCAAAAACCTTGCCCAGGAACACTCAAACAACATCGGGTGTGATCAACCAATCAGAACGYAGCTATATCATATTGAATGTCAGACAGTGTCTRTCGTGTCTGTCAAATGGATAAATAAATCAACGAGGTCAAGCGKAAAAATCCTTCATATTTGGACAAAAATGATTCTTCTTAGCACTTCATTGGACGTGGACAAAACATAGGGACAACGAGGTAATAAAATATTCTTCCTTGATGTATGTTGGACAGATGAAAATCGTTTCTAATTCTCGCTTGAACCAGGTGCACATGCAGGCTGCATTGTACCACGTCTTTGCATGGATTATTAAGCATATTGTATACTAATGATAGTTCGTTTTGTTTGTCTTAAAGCGTCGGCTTTGTGGTTCAGCTTTTGAAAGWATGGTMATCAATTATACAACAAAAGCATGGCTGCCTGTGAATGATAAGTTACACGATAGGAATTTGAAATGGTAAGTTTCAGTTTCCCCAAGGGAAAAATAAACTCTTTAAAAAACAGGTAAGTTAGGATGAAAAGTGGACACATTAAGTTCCACGATTTTTTTAATTTTAAGGCGGAGTTGGAGCGATTTGTATTTCAAGCCATTGGAATTTCTTTGTGCAATAAGTATAGCACGGCCATGTTCTTACTAATTAAAACAATCTTTCAATATCAATGGATCCACATGAAACCMAAACTACCTCCTGCAACTAAAACAATTCTTTCTTTTACATGCCTATTTACACCTAATTACAAAAACGTTGTCATAGAAAACTAGAACTTTCGTACTTTAAAAAGATAAAAGACAATCACCAGGRCTGAACTCTTTTCATTGTCTTTTATTTTGTTCCTTTTGCATTTAATTTTTTTTTTTTTTGCAATAATTTAGGTATGTAATAATGCCATTTTGTACTTCTTTAGCGAGTGATTACTCTTTCTTAAAAGAAGTTTGAAGAAAAAAAAAAGTCACTGTAATATTCCTCAATGCATCCCATTTTTCATTTCACTTTAGTTATAAAAGCTCATTGCATTCATTTAAGAACCACTAGCTTATATATATACTTTAACTGAGCAGCCTTGAAGGGGAAATGGGGCATCTCTCATATAAGGATGTAGAGTTAAGGGACAATAGTAAGACATTTTTCAGAAAATTTTACATTGTATACAGAAATACCCGATAATTATTATGAAGGTGGATGTGGCAACAAAATATATCTATTATTAAAGATGTGCAACCAGGGTTAAATATTATGGAATATCTGGTAATCTTTGGTTGAAATTTTAAATGATTTCAAGCTTTAAGCTGGCAGACTGCAGTCTTTGCAATCTTTGTCAGGGCGATCCATAGACTGCATACTCTTAAAATAGCAAGATCTATGGAGAGAGCAACCTATTTAATTGCCATTTYAACAAAAACTCAAAGAGTGCTTGAGCAAGACCTGTGATGTTAAGATTAGCCTTTCAAAACTTCAAAAATATCCATCTTTAAAGTCTACTGATACCATCATTAACATATCTACAACTTGATGTTATATCATTTTACAAGATATCTTAACACTGCTCATGGAAGTCTTATAATGTGTGACAAACTGGTCCTAATGTTTTCATCAGATGCCTGTGAAAAAATATCCATAACATTGAAACCTGTGCATGCCTGGTTAAAGACCTTTCAATCAACTTCAAGAAGGGTCTTGACTAAGGAATAATATAATATAATAAGATGTAAGCATGCCATTGGACTCTTGGTCACAGCCAACTCCTTTGTCAACTTTGCTAACTTGAAATYTTGCTTTATTACCTAATAGTAAATAGTTTGCTCTGATGACCTATTAATTATTACTGTCAAATGCTATAGTTTACCAGTATAAAAGCTTGAAATTGTTAAAAGTTTCAGCCAGAGATTGCCTTATATTCCATAAATTAAGATAATTATTCTGTCCTAAAGTATATACGCCAGCCAAAAATAAACAAACAAAATTAAGGTACAATTGCTAATAATTGGGCATAACTGAAATAAAAGGAAATTGCTTTTAATAAGAAACAATTTTATGTTATCTTGAAAAGATATCCTTAAAAGTCCAACTAGACTTTGCTGGCTAAAATACTTGATGCCGCAAAAGATACCAAATCCCTCATTTTGACCCCTTAAAGATATGACAATTATCCAGGCCTGTCTGGTGCCAAATGCAATTTACTTCATTGACATATTATGAAAATTCTGTAATCCAATAAATAATGTAATATTTGGCAGCATATAGTAGGGAAATCCCATATACATGCATCACTACTTTCGGAGAACAATGCCTCTACCATCTTGAAAAGTGAGACCCGAATTAAGTAATTTGGTTATATGCCTTAGGACACATCTCATAGTTTCTAAGTCAACTTATCTATCATTATATTGTATTATATTAACTTGACATTAGCTGAGAAGCTTTTAAAATATAATTTATATAAGTTTTAGTGGTTCGAGTCCCACTTTTCAAGATGGCGGAYGCATTGTTCTCCGAAAGTACTGAATGATGTTTGTATATACTGTATGTATTCCTCTTGATTAGCAAGACTATTCATGTGCAGTTAAATTGTAGTTGCAATTCTACAATCTTTTTAAAGATTAAAATATTAAAAAATTAACAAAAACACAAAACATTTATGATAGACCATGATAGAAGAAAAATGCTATATTTGAAAATCACTTTGTTGATCAATATAATATTACATGATGATTTCTCATTATTATTAGTTTTTGTTAATGGTAGAAACTAGCTGTAAACTAGTGTGAGCTGTGTCGGTGTTTCTAAAGRAACAGTTGAATGTGTAAAAAGATAAACTTAACACCGTAAAATAGTAGGTTAAACAACTTAAAGACGTAATTTGGACGTTAATCCTTCTTTGGAGTAAAGAGATGAAAATGAGATAAGTGTGTGTGTATATAATGAAAAGAGCAAAAAAGTAGACCAATAGCAGCAAGGTAGGCATGGTAACGGGAAATAAACAATTAAAGTACGAGATGYACTAGAGAAAAGAACAAGAGAGGTGTTAAAAACGAGAACAAGATATTAAAATTATCTGAAAATAAAGGCTCTTTCATTCAACCCGTTGGGATTAAAAGTTCCCAATAAGTGAATAAGCTACTGTTTTTCTTACCTGTGGTTGGCTTTGGAGTGTGGGTCATGATATAATGTTCCAATGTATCCCATCCWCCACCAATACGTACAAGTAAATGGTCATTTAACATCTTGAAACAACAACACCATGGTTTAGTAGATAATTACKGAGGCATGCAGCATTCATAGGTATAATGCAGGCAGCTGAGGGCGCAGCCTCAGATCTTAATATTTACTTATAACRATTTTTAATATTCACTTTATACTCACCCTAACAAACATAGTTTTTCCAAGAATAATGTATTTTCCTTCTTTCAGTCTATGGACAATCTTTATGTTATAATCTTGTGCAATTTTACATACCTTTAAACCAAAAAATTAAAGATTCTAATTAATTACCATTCGACAATGAATTTGATAAAGTAAATTAT